CACTAAGCAGTTGAGCAATCAAGAGTGACACAATAAAATAACAATGCTTCACCATCTGGCCAGCAGGTGGCACTTGTTACTTGGTATAGAAAACAGCAAGGAGTGAGGAATGAGCTCAAAGCTAGGTATTAGAAACAGATTACTCATTCTTCTATTCAGAAAGGAGAAAGAGTGGATTGGGCGGTTTCAGAAGCTCAATTCACAAAGAAGGTCTGACTAACAGACACAGCTTATCTATCACAAAATGTATTGGAGTTTTCCTATTAGGTTTACTGAACATGTATTTCTCTTAACAAGTGTGATTTGCAATATGTTTGCTGCCTTTGTAAATGGTCTTTTGTCCTTTTTTCCTGTATTTAGCTAATGAGACTAGGAGCAGATCCACACTGAAATTAGCAAAAAGAAAACAAATTCCAACTTTACCACTTAAAGGAGTGTGACTTGAACAAGATATTTAACTTCTTTAAACTTCACTTCCCTCTTGTTAAAGCTAGTATAACAGCTGAAATGTTGTAGGGATTAAATAAAGCACCATCTATAAAATGATAGCTTTGGATCAGCTTCATTTTCTAGTGAACAAGCTTTAATACTGGTATACCTTTTTTTAACCCCAAATGATATGTATGCTGTACATTATCCTCAAACTAGGGCATTTTGTGGGTAGTGTTCCTGGAAGTTATGTCACTTGAACACCAGTAGGGTGTATATAAAGGGCGGAAGAGGCTAAAGCAGCTGATTACTGGTAGATACTATTATAGTACAATAATATCACTATTTCTACCATTATTTTATCAGTCCTGGTTGTCAATGACACAAAACTTAGGACCACAGAATCTAAGATGCAGAAAGGTCTTTGATATACCTAGCCCACTCTTCCTTTCCCAGCTCAGGATGCCTCCTGCCATTACAGCTAAAATTTAGGACAGTAAGAAATGGGTTGTGCATATTTAGGACACTATTATATTTGCTTTTCAGTTCTAGTCAACGGATAAGCAGACATTGGTAGTGGGAGGCAGAAAAAGAGAATGGAAGGTAGGCAAACCATAACACATGGCATGTATTTTGTCCTTTCCTAATATTGCGAGAATGGACCAACAGACATGGTGAATCACACTAGCCGCTTCACGATTTCCCAGTGGTGTCTAGCCTACATGTGAAACATGTCTGGACTGAATCTGAATGGCACAAAAGCTCTGTTTTTCTGGTTTTCCTACCCTTGCCTATGACATATTCTAACAGCACTTCTTCTAAAAGGTATTCAGGAAGAGAGTAAATCACACTGAAAATGAGAAAGTTTTGAGTCTTGTTTCTGGAACCAGGCAACTAACATCAAAGTAGTTCTTGAATAATTTGCTGGGTTACTTTTGTGGAAAGGAAACTGAGATCACCATTCAGAGGTTTTCTATTCAATGAATACCATATTTTACACTGTGTTACACAGTTCTTAAAGACTCTGTCACACAAATACTGAGTTCATTTTTTTTTAAATATAAATTTTATTTTTATATTCCCCCATACATTTTTTAAATACCTAAGTTAAACATATGATTTCAAAGATTGGTTCCATGAAGGAACAACTCAATGTTCATCTCCAAGTCTTCATTTCTAATATTCTCACCTGGAATGGTTATCTTTTCCCTCAATTTACCCTAAATAAACTTCAAGATACAAATTATGTGCTACTTCCAATAAAAAAAATGTTTTGAATGAAGCTGCCTTCACTACTCCCTTATAAGATACATCTATTGTAGTTTCAGTTATGATCAGACAAGCACTGAACTAGCATTGTTTTATAGTGGTAGTTAATTTTTAAAAAGCTGTTAGATTCAATCCACAAAGGGCTGTATATTTTCTGAGGGAATATTTTATAGGTTGATTCAACAACTGTTGAATACCTATTACATAATTTTAATACCAGGCATAATTTAATACCTATTACATAATTTTAATACCAATATTACATAATTTTAATACCAGGCATAATTTTAAGTAGTATAAATTCACAACAGACAACATTACCACTATCCCTGCACTCATAGAGTTTACAATCTAGTCTTACACTACATTGGCCACAGTGTCCAGCACAGAATGGACCCAAGGGCAATTATGGACTCATTGACTACCTCATATTTTTTTTTATTTCTTTATCCTTATTATATGTGTTTGTCTTTTACATGTCTATATGACTTTAGGGTTACACTTTCTCTCTAAAGGGCACTGATACGGGAGGTTCAGTGGAGGGTGAGCAAACACCTCAAAATTAATTGGTTGCTTGTGATGATGTGAACCCTAATCAAAGCTTTCCTTGATGACCACTGAGTGCTGGAAGTATATTAAAGATGCTAGGATTATCCATGGAAATACAATAAACCAGTTTAGTAAAGTAGCAGGTTATAAAATCAATGCACAAAAATCAGTAGCCTTTCTATATGCAAACACTCAGTCTGAGAGGAGAAATTGAGAAAAACATTCCATTTACAATTGTACCCCCAAAAATTAAATACCTGGGAATAAACTTCAAAGGAGATGAAAGACATATACAAGGAAAACTATAAAACATAGTTAAAAGAAATAGAAGATACAAAGACACATATTAAAAAAACTAGCAACAACAAATGTTGGCAAGGTTGTGGAGAAAAAGGAACTCTCCTGCACTGCTGGTGGGAGTGCAAAATGGTCCAACCACTATGGAGAGCTATGTGGAGATTTCTGGACCTACTAAACATAGAGCTTCCATATGATCCAGCAATTCCACTCCTAGGTATTTACCCAAAGGACACAGAAACATCAATTCCAAAGAGCACCTGCACCCCTATGTTTACAGCAGCACTATTTACAATAGCTAAGCTTTGGAAACAGCCCAAATGCCCAAAAACAGATGACTGGATCAAGAAGATGTGGTACATATACACCATGGAATATTACTCAGCATTCAAAAAAGATAAACACATGCAATTTGCAGCAACATGGATGGCGCTGGAAGGGATCGTGCTCAGCGAAATAAGCCAGAAAGAAAAAGAAAAATACCGGATGGTCTCACTCATAGCAGGAATCTAGAAAACCTAAATAGGGGATGATGAAAAAGCATAACTATAAGAAAATATCAAAATCAACAAACAACTATGAACCAGAGACATACTATGGGGGGTGGGGGGTGGGGAAAGGAGGAATTGGGGTCAAAATAAGGGGGCTGCAATTGTATGGGGAATATAAAAATAAAATTTAAAAAAAGAAATAGAAGATACAAAGAAATGGAAAGACATCCATTGTTCATGGATCAGAAAAATAATTAAAATAAAGAAATGAAATCTAAGAGTTTAAACTTTAAAAAAAGATGCTAAGGTTATTTTCATTCACAAAGGGGGTGTGGGAGATATTTAGTATTCTTATGACTTTTGAATTGATGGAATTAGGTCTCTACTTACATACTGCTGAACTTCTTTGTTTCTATTTGAAACAGACTGAACCTATAAATCTAGCTCGATTTTTTATGAAAAAATCAACTATCAAAAAGAAAGAAAAAGCAGAAGTGATGGCACAAATCTATTACTCAGTGATAGATTACCATTAAAATCTTTTACCAGTTACCACTAAAATCTTTACCTCAGTGATAAAAGAAACACCCAATCCAAAACAAACAAAAAGATAATTAAGACTTTGTGATTGGCACTATTACTATCCAAGAGTCAACTGAGACCTCACAGGAAATAAAAAACATACAGAGGCTACAACATAGATAAAATCACTTCATGCTGTGTAGTATGCCTTCATAAGGCTACAGGGAGTGCTAAGCAAAACAAATGAACATATTCAACTTTGTAAAGATCCATCATTGCCTTTAACTGTTTATTAAAATATCCACAGTGATACCTATCTCCAATCTCTGTCAAACCTACAACTATAGACTCTAAAAATCTGTAGGAAATTGAGCTGTTTTTGGTATATGGGGAATATTTCATCCAAGGCTAAAAGGTGGGGGTTGTGATTCCAACTAGTAGTTTACTTGCATGACAGACCCTGACACCAAGAGTAGAGAAGTAAGAAGGGGAATCTGGGGTAGAAAAGAAAGTGTCTTCCAACAGCCCAGGAACACAAGTAAAGTTAGATGTTAAGTCTGGGGTCATCTCGGATTGGGACTCTCCCATTTGAGTGAGCATTTCCCCTGACATCACAGAAGAGCCAACCCATTTGAGCATATGCTGCCTACTTCTTCAAGATCTGTTTGAGGAAGCTGACAGGTTACACAAATGCAACATGAATTTGGGGTGTAAAGCCATAAACAGAGGTCTAATTACTTTCTTAGTTGAGAGATTATTTCTGCACGCCACTTTTCCTTTCGTGTGAAATTGTTATGGGTATCTGCATTTACTGATGATAATATTTTATCTATTGAATTTTTCTTAACAAATAAATATGACTGCATTCTGTATTACTGTGCTAACATTTAAAAAAAAAATAACTCTTTACCTCAAAAATTCACTCTCATGGTAATACACATCTGAAGAGGTGTGAACCTACATCCCTAAATAGTATAGTGTTATATACCAATGTTACCAGAATAAAAAAAATAATACAATTAAAGAAAATGCACATTCAGGGAAGAAACCTAAAGAAAATGAAAAGAGCTTTGCAGTCACACAGACCTGTATTCTAAACTTGACCATGTGACCTCTGATGTTCTGGCTGACTTCTATGAGGCTTTAAGTGCAACCACAGAAGGGAAATTCCCCCATTCCTCACATTGCACTGCTGCACACATGAATGAGATAGCCAGTATGTACAGTATACTTTAAAGCGCTCTCTCCCCTTCCTGGACCCCTGAAGCACTTTGCTCACCTCTAGGACAGTCCCTGGATACAAAGTTAAAAGGAAGTGACAAAGAAGGCTGGAAAAAAGAGACTACGCATTTTATTTGGATAAACCACTTAGCTGATCTGCACACATGAAACCAACAGCTCAAGAGTCAGGGTAGATCCTGGAAAGAATTACTAACAGCTCACCTGTGGTTGCTGTTCTGCCAGTCGATTGTGATACCTTTGGACTGAATCTCGGAGCTGCTTCTCTTTCTCATTTTTTGATGGTAACACTGTGTTCATGGTGCCCAGGGGGATGGAAGGTAAACGTTCTGTCTGATGACAACTTCATAGTAAACATGTACAAGAGATAATGTCAGGAGGAAGCAGGAAACTATTTACCCTCTGGAGAAGATGATTTACTTCTCCTAGGTATTACTCTGTATCTTATATCTAAAATTCGAATACAAAGAAAGACCATTGTTTTGATGATTTTTGGTACCTTAAATCTCCAATGTGTATAGAAAGGTATTTAATGAAAAATGTGGAGGATACCACATTTTAGCAAAGTGGGAGAATATTCAATATCTTACTGCTTCATTTATCCTGCATCATGAAATGAGGTCTTTGGCAAAATGTTCTTCTTTTTAGGTACAGAAACTTATGTCATTACTGCTAAACATTTAGGATCACTCCTTATAATGACAAGAAATACTAGTGACTTTTGCAACATTAGATATGGAAGGTTTGAGGTCTTTTCCCCCTACTTTTGTTTTTGCAGCTGTGTTCTGAGTTAAGTTAGCCAAATTATTGAAAAATTGAGCTATTTTGTTGTTCACCTTGGTACAGGAGACTCAGCAGGGATTCAAGCTCAACTCCACTAGGCATGATTTTGATTCAGGGGTACACTGGGATGTGTGGCAGGAGGGCCAACGCTGAGATCATTTCCTAGAATCTACTTTTTACAAGACTTTTCCTATCACTGATAGATACGAAAAGAGATGGAAGGGACACAGTTTGTAGAAAATGTGTGTTAGCTAGGAAAGGGAGAAGGAGGTTGAGAATAAAAGGCTTTCTCCCATCTGATGCAGTACAGGAAAAGTGAAGCAGATATATCCATTATTTCTATTTTTCTTGCCCCCTACCAATAGACAAGAGTAAGGACCTACAATCAAATTCAAGCACTACTGTGCAAAAACACTTAATTCCACCCACATCTGGTATTTGTTGTTATTGTTATTTTAAAAAAAAAAGGTGGTACATAAAAGCGGGAACACCTCCTGGATACAGTCACCTGCAGTATTCATTTGAAGATTTCCATAGCGTAAAATCTACACAGGTTTCTTTTTGAAAGGAGAACCTTGAGGCAGCAGTAAGTTTTTAATCAGAAATGAGAATCTGAAGTTTTTATTAAAATGCAGTCCATCCCATTGTCTTCATTCTCTTTATTGTCATAAACAAATTAAATTTTAATATATAATAAAACTTCCAGGACTTTTTTAAACATCTTTTGCAAAGGTCAGACTTTTTTGTTTCAGTCAAATGATAGGCATCATTTTTATCCTGCTGCTGATCCACATTTTCAGTGTAGATAAATGCAGTGTGAATGTAATGGAAGCTTATTGATACCTATTTTTTGGCTGCTGTGATAAAACTGGCTAGCCTCCCTCTGTGCTTAAAGTGGAAAACAAAAAAAAGCTTCAGTGGTTTGAGAAAGAATGGCTTCATTTTACCCGACTGGGTCACCAACCCTGAATACTACCATTTTTAAAATCATGTATTTTGTCACCATAAGTATTTAGCTGAAATTGAGTTTCCTAAATGTAAATGGATGATTTCAGAAAGCAAAGGTGGTAAGGTGAAAAGAGTACAGGTTTTATATCAAAATGCTTGGCTTCAAGTATCACATTTAGGAAAGAATCCTGGGCAAATCAAGGACAACTCTCTTAGCCCTGCTCTGTTCTCATTGAAGAAATGGAGAAAGCTCACAGGGTTACTGAAAGATGAAATGAGTTAGCATATGTAATTTCTATGTAAGGGAGAACTACTATTTTGTTAACTGCCCAAGTTTTGTTGACATAGGCATTGTTCATTCAAATGTTGTTCATTGGCATTTAACAAAAGGCAATTAATGGCTGACAGTAAGTATATTTTCTGTAAATACAGACAAAATCACTTCAAGCCTCCCTACTCTGTACTTGTATTCACTGATTGTTGCCTAATAACTGTACACCATGTTTCATCACTTCAATGAACTATTTTAACATGATTCTGCCCCAAGCCAATAGCACATATGTATCAGGTACATGCCCAACAATAATTATTTCAGTCTGAAAATATTTCAGACCCATCCCATTATAATGAATCACAGGACTGAGCAAGGTCATGATATGGATTTCTCCCCCTAGGAATCATCATTGCTGCTACTGATATCCATAAAGGAAGTCTCAGCTCCCAAGTGACTTCCCTGGTGACCACTTTTTCCCTGGTGACCACCACAATTTACTATTATTAAACTATTGAAACTGAGCTAACACTTTTTCTTTCTATCTCCCCTAATCTCAGCTGCCACTTTTAGCATATTTTTTTTTTTTTGGTGTGATGATCATTTCAGTGGAAATGAAATACAGATGGTCAATATTATGTCACTGTATTTAAAGAATCAAGGACTTAAGAAAATTATAAATACAAGATGACTTTTGGTTTCTGGATTTTAAGGTCCATCAGTTTTCTGTCAACATGGCTAAATTTATCTTGCCTGTTGTCAAAAGTGGCACTCTTTTCAAGGTTTAAACAGACAGAATTAGTGCAGCTTTGAAACTAATTTTACACAGCTCTGTAATGGCACAACCACTTTTCAAGGAGAAGAGGGTGAGTATGTCATTTAAAGGCAATAGCAAACTGGAGATAAGGGAGACTGTAGAGGACAGATTTCTAGTTCTGTGGGTCTGACAGTGCCTAAGACTGATGTAAAATCACAGGACATATGGTTAGATTTATGGGAGAGGGACCTAATTATTCATGGCTTATATCAGTGCCCCCCCCCGCCCCAACCAGGATTTAGCAGGGGCTCAGCTGCACCTAAAGATCAAGGTACTATTATTAAACTCAATTCAAGGTTTCACAGTAAATGGAGCCAGGGGTCAAACCCAGTTGACACACCCCTAAACACAATCCTTTGATGCATGAAAGATTCTCAGCTCACAGTAAGTGAACAGTATTATTAAACTATTGAAACTGATAACAACAGTATTAATATTGAATTAATATTGAAACTGATAACAACAGTAATAATAATAATAACAGTATTATTAAATTATTGAAACACTTTGATCTAATGTGTGAGATACTTAAGTTCCAAGTGACTGCTGGTATCAAGTTACGAGTCCGAAGAACTTGGCCACGTGAACAGGGTTCTTAGCCCCTACTGGGCTTGAAATCCCATTTTCCTGAAATGAATAACTGAGACTAGTCAGTGGAAACAGAAATGAGAAGCGGATACCTTTGGACCTGAGTCCCAGTCTCCATTTCGATCAAGACAGCTCTGTATTTATTTATATATTTGAGGTCCGATACACATTTTATTTTGAAAAAGAAAACAGGTTTACTGCAAACTGAGAAGGGGAGATTCTGTCATGTGAAATCTTAGAGCCCTTGCCCCTTCTGATATCTTTCTTTAGTCTATACATATGATTAATCTGGGGACTCGAGGTGGAAGAGATTGAAAAAATGGCAGTTCTTGAATATTTTCTTCTTCACTTTTTGAAAATATTTGTTCTGGTGTATTCTTGGTAAATGGATAAAAATAACCAAACAGAAGTTATTACCCTAATGTGTGTATTAGCAATATTGATCTACATATCCAGGTCAAGGAACTTAGAACAAACTCCACAGAGAAGCAATGCTTGACTTAGGGGTGACTCTGTTATAGAGGAATAGTAACTCCCCCCAGCCCTTGGGAAAGAATATAAGCCTGAAAGGGCTTGTAATAACATTGACATTCATCAATATTTAATCCGTCTTTTTTTTCCTGTTTTACTCTGAACTTCTTTCTTCATGAGCACTAAACAATGAAATCAATACATGAATTAAACAGAAAAAGCGCATGCTCTAACAGTTTAATGCCCCTTGGGACACCCTCTGAATACGATGCCTTTATGATAAGGTCGTATGTTGTATGAAAGTGAACTGGAGGACAGAACTTCATGCTGGACCACAGTCTCCTGCCAGTGGCAGTGCTGAGCTGCACACCCCAATGTTTGCAAACAGTGACATCCACCACTCCTTTATCTTGTTGGAAAATAATACTAACAAAATACTTCCCACCAATGAAAAGGGGCCACAAATGGTTGGGGATGCAGCTTAGGTCTGCATATATCTGATATGTCTTAGTTTTATTCATATGCATGTTAGGAATTAAAACTGAATAAAGAATTTTAGAGAACTATTCAAAACTACCTGTTTTCCAAGAGGTTAGGATTATTAGCACAAATCCAGATGTCAAGAAATTCTTTTTCCAAATAATTAGTAGAGGAAGGCAAGACTCTCCATTTCAGGCAAAGATCTGATATCAAAACAAAATTGCACATGAAAATACCACATCAGAAGTGAATGTGTCATAGTGATATGTCAAGTTGGACAAAGCAAAAGCATAAGGTATTTTTTTGATCAAAAGATGAATAAGTTCTTGATCACATATCATTATATTTGATGGTGTAAGTAGTCTAGGATTCTATGAACTCCAGGGACCCACCAATAAAGTATTATTATTACCTACAGGTTAAAGGTAATTAATTATAAATTAATAAATAATAAAATTATTATTAAGTTCTTCTTAGTTGGTTTCTGCTACTTTCAGTCAAAAGAATCTGAACAGATCTCAATCTATCTACCCTTACACCACATGAAGACCTCCAATAGGAAAAAAAAAGAATTAAATGACTCACCTCTTTCATTATCTCTTACCTATTATCTATCTGCTGACAATACATTACTTCTCATCTCCAAAAATGACTAACATAACAAGGACAATCAAGCTCTCTGAAGCATTTACACTGTTCTTTTTTTTTTTCTACTCTTTTCTTTCTGCTCTTATTCTACTTTCATGCCTGTGGTTTCTGATTTCTTTTTCCTTTTTCCCTTTCAGTCCTTCCTTGCGTTGGGACCATGAACTCTCCTCCCTCCAGTTTGTCCTTAACTTTAGTCATGGATTCCCTCAGACACACTGTTAAGGACTATAAGGTAAATGCATCTGTTTATCTAAAATGGAGGCAATTTGCACTGTATTTAAAACCTGAATAATTCCACCACTTTCTCTATTATCTTGCATATCACCTATGATGATACTTTTTATAGTATGTGATCTATAAAAAGATTAATATTAGTACTTACATAAAAGAATTATTGAGGACTAAATGACATAGTAATAATGATGATAATGACCAACATTATGAGATCTTATCTGTGATGGTTAATTATTTGTCAATTTCACATCACCCAAAGCAGTGATAGTGAACGCAAAGATAAACAGCTGGGACCACATCATATTAAAGAGTTCTGTACAGCAAAAGAGACAATAACCAAAACAAAGAGAAATCCCACTGACTGGGAGAACATTTTTGCACACAACACTAATGATAAAGGACTGATTACAAAAATCTACAAAGAGCTGATGAGACTCAAAAAAAACAAAGAAATAATCCAGTCCAAAAACGGGCAGAAGAGCTAAAAAGAAACTTCTCCAAAGAGGAAATGCAAATGGCCAACAGGCATATGAAAAAATGTTCAACATCACTTGTAATCAGGGAAATGCAAATCAAAACTACCAAGAGGTACCATCTTACACTAGTGAGAATGGCACATATTAAAAAAACTAGCAACAACAAATGTTGGTGAGGATGTGGAGAAAAAGGAACTCTCCTGCAGTGCTGGTGGGAGTGAAAAATGGTCCAAACACTATGGAAAGCTGTGTGGAGATTTCTTGACCTACTAAACATAGAGCTTCCAAATGATCCAGCAACTCCACTCCTAGGTATTTACTCAAAGGATACAGAAACATTAATTCCAAAGAGCACCTGCACCCCTATGTTTACAGCAGCACTATTTACAACAGCTAAGCTTTGGAAACAACCCAAATGCCCAAAAACAGATGACTGGATTAAGAAGATGTGGTACATATACACCATGGAATATTACTCAGCATTCAAAAAAGATGAACACATGAGGTTTGCAGCAACATGGATGGAGTTGGAAGGGATCATGCTCAGCAAAATAAGCCAGAAAGAAAAAGAAAAATACTGGATGGTCTCACTAATAGCAGCAATTTGGAAAATCTAAATAAGGGACCAGGAAAAAGACTAATTGCAATAAAGTAAAAATCAAAATCAACTAGCAACCATAGACTAGAGACACACTACAGTGGGGGGCGGGGGGACAAGAAGAGGGATTAGGGTCATAAAAGGGGGGTGGGAATTGTATGGGGAATATAACCAAAATGAAAATGCATATATTATGCAAAAATGAAAAATGATGCAAGAATTATATAAAATAAAATAATTCATAAAAAAATTATGTGTCAATTTGACTGGGCCATGGGGTGCCAAGATATTTGATCAAACATCCTTCTGGTGTGTCTGTGAGGATGTTTGGAATGAGATTAACATGAGTTAGTGATCTGAGTAAACCAGATTGCACTCCCTAATGTGGGAGGGCCTCATCCAATCAGCTGAACATCTGAATAGGGGGAAAAAAAATGGTTAACCCTCTTGTGAGCAAGAAGAAACAACTTCTGTCTCTTTTTTTTTTTCCTGTCTTCAGACTGAAACTGAAACATCAACTCCTGCTGCGTTTCAAGCTGTTAGGAGACATAGTGGAACTACATCATTGGGTATCCTGGTTCTCACAGGTTTAGACTCAAAATAGAATCAACCATAGGCTCTCCTGGGTCTCCAACTGACTGACTGAAGAACATGTTGGGACTTACTAGTTTTTGTAATCATGTGTGTCAATTTCTTATAATACACGTAATATACATTACATACAATATATCATATACATTGGATATTTATTTGAAAATGGAATAATAAATATCCATCAATTTATATATCATACATCTGTCTGTCTATCCTACAGGTTCTCTCTTTCTCTGGATAACCCTGACTAATACATTTAGTAAACTTTACATGTGTTAATTCATACAAACTTGACATGTGTTAATTCATACAAAACTTGTATGATGTGGCTACAAACACTAACTCATTTTATAAATAAGGCAACTGAGGTTTAGAAAAGTTAAATTTGTTCCATTTCATACAACTCTCAGGTACTAGAGATTGGATTCTGGAGGTACCTGTAACACATCAAAAACAGTTATAATGTTTAGCCATTATCATTAACACCCAATAGGTTGTTGTATACAGTCATTAATCTCCTCAATCATACCTTCTAAATATCATAAATGTTACCTTAAATCTCCCTACTGTGCATTTCTTTAGACATTTATAATTTCTCACCTGGATCTTAGATTATACAAGTGTCTTCTGAGTAATCCTCCCTTTGCTCTAACTCTCCTCCAAATCATCTTTGACAGTGCTACCAGAGCAACCTTACTGTAAGTTCCATCTGATCAGTTAGGTCCTCTTTGGAGAACACCAGTTTCAAGGTTGGAGAGGTGCATAAATAACTATAGCATTTTACATAGTATAGCATATTTTTATTTGCTTATCTGTCTCATCCACTGGACAGTGGCTTCCTTGCAAATGTCTACTTCTTTGTATAGTGGCTACAAGATGTATCAGAGACACATTAAGCACTCAATGCTTCAAAGATGTTTATTCTCTTACTAAAAAACTCTCAATGCCTCCACATTGCATATCAGAATAAATGCTTATCCTAGCATTCTAGACCCTCTAACGTGTTTACCCAACCTAACATTTTTGCCTTTTATTATTTATTCTTCATTCATTCAGTAGTCAATCACTAAATACCTGCTTTATATTAAATACAGTGGTAGGTATTAAAATAGAAAAAAATGATGGCTTCTATTATTCTACTGCAAATTTTTTAGCTGAGGTGTACACAAGATATTAACATACATATCAAGTGTACACATGATATTAACATACATGTCTACCTATCAAAATTCTATTTTCAAGATCACAGCAAAGGTTGCTTCTGTCATGAAACCCTGCCTCAGTTTCCTCCTCCTCCCTTATTGTTAATGCTCAAAGAAGCTATTTCACTTACATAGCACATTTACAATTATTTTCATGCTTATCTTAACCCCTCTTCTAGATCATAACCTCTTTGAAAGCAAGAATCATGTCCTACCTATCACCTTTATTTTCTATGCCCCATTTCATAACCTAGTGACTTGCCTATTTAAGAAACCTCTAAATGTTTGCTAGTTATAATGGAAATTAACACTTACCACACTGAATGATAAATGGGATGGCCATGGCTTGTCTTCTTCGACACTGAAGAGAATCTAAAGATTTCTCAACATCTCTGCTATTCTGGTTCCCAAATTCATTCCAAAACAATGTTAGATTTCTGTTACCTAAATAAAGAAAGCAGGCAAAGAATAATTAAAGAAAATTAAAACAAGATCAAAATGCTAAGCAAAGGAAAACCTGGATATAAACACAAGATTTCAACATGCAAAAATTAATTCATATACATAAATACCAAATTATTGTTTCTTTTTGGAGTATGGGGAGTATGGGTGAAATTCATTTTCTGCTTTCTACTTTATTATATTTCCAAACTATATGTGACAAATATGCAATATCTTTATAGTCTTTATGAACACAATACCATTATAAACACAATATCTTTATAAACAGCTCTAAAAGTATAAACTTAAGCAGCTCTAAAAATATAAACTTTTATTGTTGTAAATTGACATTTAAAACTTCTTGCTTAAATACTCCCAGGAGGAACTGTACTGATTAAACTTAAAGGTCACCTTTAAGACTAGTGATACAAATATTTATCATTTTTGTCTCACAGCCAGTCTCTTTGCCTTTATTTTATCTCAGGTTCCCTTTCCTTCCATTTTTTATTGTTTATGTTCCACAATAGCCCCATTCTGCATTCCCTCCTTGCTTAGAAAATAGCAAGAGAGGAACATTCAGGACCCTCTTTAAGAAGCTGTGTTCTTATTCTTTGATTGAACAATTGCATTGCTAGACATCTTCCCTACAAACATACAAAATAATGGCCATGTATATTACAATACTGTTTTAATAGCAAAAAATAATAAACGAAAGCAGTGTATAAACCTAAAATAAGGAAATGATAAATTCCATTCACAAACAAGGGAACCAGGGGAACACATGGCAACATTGAAAACAAAGAGCTACAAGTCAATGTATTGAATCAAGATCTCCAAGACAGACTTTTTTAATTAAAAAAGATCGAAAACAGCAGATCTAGTATAATCACTTTTATAATTCATAAAAAGCATATACATGTGAAACATTGATGGAGCTACTTTTTGCTATTTCTGAAAGAATACAAAGAAAGTTTTCATGGTGGATATCACTGGAGAAAGGGACAGCACTGAATGGAAGGCAAAGGAAGATATTTTTACTTTCTATTTTTTTAATCTCTGTACATTTTAATATGTTTACATGTACATGTACTACTTTAGAAATTTTTTTTAAATAATGCATGCTTACTGTTCCGTCCAATATGCTAACCACTAGCCACATGTAGCTAAGGAGGACCTGACATGCAGAGATGTAGAACATGAATGTTGGGCAACCATCCCAGACTGGGTAGGTTCACCATTGATTCTAACAGTTTACCAGAGAATTTTGGAGCCCTTGATATCATCGTCACAGGTTTTAATAGTAAGCAGAGGAAACAAGCCTGCACAGAGACAGCAACTTGAGCCCCTCTGCCCCAGGGGAATGCAGCCTTTGTATCCCTAAACTCTAGTCTCAGGTGTGCACAAGTATGCATGTGTGCACACCCATACTCCAGGTGTCCACAATCAGAACACCTGCATGCCCCGCCCCCACACTCCCAAGTGCCTTCTGCTTCAACACGATGAGGCTGCAAGTGATAGCAACAAAGGCTAGTGGTGCAAAAAGCCTGACCAATCCATTTACCCTACAATGTCATCAATACCCAATGTAAAAGTGAGATTCTAAAGTAAATAACTAGAAAATAAAATAAATAGGGCTAGTCTTACAACAACTTTAACATGTGACTATAACCTGTACAAAATACAAATAAACACCCTTACACATTCCTATTCCTATTTAAATTTAGGTACAGAAAACTATGTGCCTTTAAGGCCAACAGGAAAGGAACTCAGCTTTCAGAAGGGACTTAGCAATTAGGCTGGAAGCTGTCCTCTCCTTCCCAGGTCTCCTACTTTGCCTCTTCACAAAATCTCAAACAGTTGGACTAACTCTTGGGCTTTTCTCCACTCAGACTTTTAAGTTTTCTGCTCTTTACTCAGCTCACAAACCACTCCTCTGCACACCAGATGCTAAAATACTCTTTGGTATCCAGACAGGGTACTTGAGGTCTATCCCTCTGATTTCCACATGAACTATTCAGCTCTTACTATGTTTCGCCAACATGTGCTGTAGGTTATAGTCAGGTGGCTTCAAATGCTGGCTCTATCACCCATTAGGTTGTAAAAATTGTGGAAATTCACTAAATTTTCTTTATCTTTTTTTAAAAAAGATTTATTTATTTATGCATATAAGAGCTGGGGTACAGGCCAGAGGTCTGGAGGGTGAGAGGATTCACCAGAGAGAGAGTGGGGAACAGAACAGGCAGATTGACTGAAATACACACTGCTGAGGGGAGCAGTGGAAGAGTCAGGAGAGGTCTGCTGCGCCATGTGGGTCTCCTCCCCAGCTGGGGATCGAACTCGTGCTACAGTGGCTGCTGATAACTTCATAGGTTGTGTCTTAACCCCTTGAGCCACCAGAGAGGCCCCAATTCACTAAATTTTCCTACCTATAACGTGTGTTTGTGGGTTCCTATGAGCTGAGCACTCCTGGACAACTGTGAAATATTTGCCATCTGCAAATCATAGCAGAACATTCCTTGACCACTTACAGAGAACAGCCCATATTATGAGGCAGGTCCGGGAAAGTCTCATCTGCCATTGACCTGATTATGTGACTATCTCCATGGTAGTCTCTGGACTACCTGTAACAACTCTGCCTGTGACAACATAGATACTGTGCTGATGCAAATGTCTCTCGATGTATGGTCACAATGTCCCCTTGTCTGTTCCTTGTAAAACTGTTTCTCTCCCCGCTCCCAACCTTATTCCTCATACCACTGTTGCATGATCAGCTTTTACTAGCCTGTATGCTTTCAATAAATGGCACAAGAATTTCTGCTCAAGTACCAACCTTGCCTTGCAAACCTGCAATAAGACTGTTGTATGCCTCATCACTCTCGCACTGCAAAGGGTAAACAAAGTTCCTGTCACAAGTGTTTACAATAACTTGCCCTACAAGGTTATTTTAAAGAACAAATGTGAAGGCACATTAAAAATACAGCACCTTGCAGAAATTTAAATTGCCGCTCTAGAACCTCCCTAGTGACACAGGAGTTAAAGTCTCAGCACCATCAAGTTATCGCCAGTCACTGCGACATGAGTTCAATCCCCAGCCAGGTAGCTAACCCACATGGCACAGCAGACCTCTCCTGTCCCGCCTGCTGGTCCCCTCAGCAGTGTATTTCAGTCAGTCTGCCTGTTCTGCTCCCCACTCTGTCTCTGGTGAATCCTCTCACCCCCACCCACCCTATACCTCTGGCCTAGACCTCAGTTCTTGTATGCGTAAATAAATAAATCTTTAATAAATTGCTGTTCTATTGATCTGCAGAGGTAAACTTTTTTTTCCTTTCTTTTTTTAAATTATTTTTTTAATGTTTTACATGCAGGGGTAAATACAGTGTATTACAGATCTTGATTCTCAAAGGTGCACACCTTTAACTTATATAATGGTGTAGTGCAATGTTTTTTCAATAAAGAGATATACAAATAGATTAAATCTTAAAAAATGAAATGAAATAAATGTTTCTTCATCAAGAAGACCATACCTTTTTTTTTTTTAAATAACACTATAGTTTTTTTTTTGTTTGTTTGTTTGTTTGTTTTATTTATTTGTACAAGCACTGGGTACAGTCAGAAGCACGAGAGAATGAGAGAATTCACCGAGCCAGAGCGGGGAGCAGAGCAGGCAGAAGGACCGAAAGAAGTACACTGCTGAGAGAAGCAGCGGGTGGCAGGAGAGGTCTGTGCGCCATGTGGGACCCTCCTCCGGTGGTGGCTGGGGAGCAGCCAGGGATCGAACTGGTGCTGCAGAGGCTGCGGGCAGCTTCCCAACCCAGCACTCAACCGCTGTGCCACCGGGGAGGCCCAAGAAGACCATACCTTTTTAAAGGAGGAACTATGCTTTAAAATTTCACATGTCCACAATACAGATCTCAGCATGCTGCACCTAACAACCTTCAAAAATGTTGCTGCTACTTACTCTTGACAAAGCACTTCATTAAGGTGTTGTATGGTATAATATGATGGTGAAATAATGTCTCTCTGTGAAAACATTAGCTAAGCAAAGTTAACACAATGCAGCTAGCTTATAAAGTAAGTATCCACTGTGAACTACAACACAAACATTTTTAAAGTGGTAAAGCTACTAGGATGTTAGAAATGTAAGTACAGACTCCTCAAGGGTAGGGTGATTCCTGCTCTGTGATCACAAAGCTCATAAAGCATATACACTACATTTCAGTTCATTTTATGCCTATTTTTTACAGAATGAAATCCTTAAAGACAGTGGTTATGTTTAGGAACTCTTTTCAGTAGCTGGCATACAGAGCTTAATATTTACTGATAGGACTAAATAACACCAAAAAATTACTGGCTATCAAAGACAGAAATGAGAGCATTTATAAACCTAAACACTAATGATCAGGTTTGATAGAAGAGCTTATCCTATTCAAGGCAGACATCAGGGCAAAGAAATCAGAGTTTTTTACTCTGGAGGTTCAGAAGTGGTTTTCTCTGTCAATGGAAACAACTTTTTTTCTTCAAATAGAAGCTACTCCAACATGCAAACCTTGCTTGCTGTTGTGCTTGCAGTATTATTAAAACAAATGCCCATGGAGTGGCCCCTGAAGACTAAGTAGATACTTCAGCAAGAGGATAAATAAGCTGGGCAAAGGGAAGGCAGTATGAGGAAATACATCACATCAGTTTCTACTTTCTTTATATAATACATATGTGGGGAATTTAATTCATTTATGTACACAGTAATATTTTAATTGTCCATATTACTCAAAGAAATCTACAGAGCCAATGCAAGGCAAATTCATATTGCATTTTCACAGAAGTATAAAAATAAATCCTAAAATCTGTATGAACCACAAAAAAATCCCGAAGCTGAACTGAGAAAGGAACAAAGCTGGAGGCATCACACTTCCCAATTTCAAACTATATTGCAAAGTGCAGAAACAACAGTCTGAAAATCTATCCCTATTAAAAATCCACAATAGAATTAAAAATAAAGATACAGA